TCTCTCTCTCTCTCTCTCTCTCTCTCTCTCTCTCTCTCTCTCTCTCTCTCTCTCTCTCTCTCTCTCTCCCCCTCCCTTTCTCTCTTTCTTGCATCGCGTGACGTCCGCGCGGGAGTCGCAATGTGTTTTCTATTTACCACTATCACACCTACGTGTTCCTTCACCGTGTAGTCGTCGGCCATTTATAGACACGATCTCAGCCCATCTCTTTTTACGAGAGATACGCCAAGTAGGATATATTAGAGTCTGCGGATAATTTAGACGAATTACAATGACGAATACGGAATTGAGCGTTTATTTCAATCAGCACGCGAGGTGCATTAGCTTTCATTAACTTTGTTCCCAACAGTTATCTATTATTTTAGGCCTGGCGAGTTTAATTACAATTTGTGAGGTAGCAGATAAACAAGCAAATGTATAAATAAATAGCTTGAGGTATAAATAAATAATTAAATAAATAAGAGTAAGTAACTTGGGTCGACTCCACTATGTCGATTCATGGTGTCAAACCAGGTGAATTAAATACTTGTCTATTTATGTGTTTACGGAACACCTGTTCTTGGGCTTGCCCAGCGCACGCGTCTTTTTCTCCTCTCGTCAACGTTCTGTTACAACGTAATTCTCGATTGATCGAACTTCGACGGAGCAGAGAAATCCGTTTTTCCGGGCGGATGCACGCCGATGAAACATCGACGTGTGATCATCGACGGCGATCCTCCGTCGATCCGGTATCCTTTTGCTTCCCCTCTTCTCTTATCTGTCCCGGCGTGTCTTCGCGTCTCATTAGCTTTCGGGGGCAATTGCCACTAGTAAAGAACGAACCCGAAATCGTTGTACCGCTACACGATGTACAGGGTGTCGGGGGCGAAAGTTACAAATTTCAATGGCGTGTTCCAGGATCATTTTGAGTTGAAGAGTTATACTGACAAGAAAATTACGATGGATCGCGAACGATTATCACATTAGAATTTAAAATACGCATTTCTCGCCGATATAATTATTTTTAATTAATGAATAATGCATGCGCGCGATGTATCCGTTGCAAAGTATCGGATTTTCTTCGTAGCGTTTCTCTTTCGACCTCTTCAAAATTGGCGTGATGCTAAATTGATGCCTGACGCTTCAGCGTGACGTGCTTCCGCATGTAATTATCTTTCTCTTGAGAGTAGACTCTCAACGTCGATATTACATCATCACCTCATAACTTACGGAATTTGGATGTCCCTTTATTCCCGTCCCGGAAATTCATGCCTTCTGCCTCGAATATCGTATTATATTTACGCAGATGTGTCTATAATTTCAAATTATCAAATATACGACAATAAATTGGCTCTACCTTCTGGATATCTTATATGAAAATTGTTAATTAATTATTGTGATTCTTAATTATATTTTTCTTTAAAAAGAAAATTTTCAGGATAAAATACTAAAGAAAAAAAATTCAGCGAGATTTTAGCTTAAAAGTATTTACATTAATTTATTTTTCTTCTATAAATTTCTTTTTATTTATTGAGTTCATTTAGTTTTCTGCGATTACAGTGATTTTCGGATAAATAAAGCGTAGTTTCCGCGGAAGTGATTGTCGTATAATAGCCTTGTCAAGTGTGACACACGAGAAAGTTTCGTGACCAATTAACGCGTATCACATTTAACACCTGACAACAACCTTCGACCGCTATCAGCATTCACACTCTCTATCAACTTTCCAGGTGCATTCGCAGTGTTTGTACATTCACAAGTTCGCTCACCAAGTTTAATGACGAACTTTCCACTACGCGAGTAAGTTTGCGCGCGAATATTTCGATACACGTAATTGCGCAAACAGCGACACCGCAACATCGGACGATTCTGCTATGACAAACAATACTTGCGTTCGCGAGGCGACAACCACCGTGTACAATACCGATCATCGTTA